AGAAGACAGAAGACAACAATGCACTTGTGTTCATTGCAGATGTCAAGGCCAACAAGCACCAGGTCAAACAGGCTGTGAAGAGGCTCTACAACACTGACGTGACCAAGGGCAACACCCTGATCAGGCCTCACGGAGAGAAGAAGGCGTATGTTTGACTGGCTCCCGACTATGATGCTTTGGATATTGCCGAAAGAATTGGATCATCTAAACTGAGTTTAGCTCGCTAATTCTAAATATAAATATTTTTTTCACTGTAAAAAACAAAAAAAGTTTCCTGTCAGCTTCTCACCTGATGGTTTTTGCAGCTATTGATGATTGTCACCTAGATTCATTGGTTCATAGGGGCCTGCAAGATGGTAACATGCTAATTTTATCAATTCTTCAGCAATTATTAGCCAAAATATGGAACTTTCCATCATTATTTCTAAATTTTTATTTCAATCCTTTATTATTATTATTCTTTTTAATGCATACATTGTTTCATCTTTGATCTGTGAGAGCTCCTTCAAGTTGGGTCATAAGTCTTTTAACATCACTCACTGGCCTCTGGTAGCTTTCTTTCTTTCTGATGCAAGATGTCTCTGATTTATACATTTCCTGCCCAGCCCTTTCTCCAAGGCCCAGTATGCTGAATGCCTCCATAAGACACACATGATCCAGAGGGCAGGAGATAAGTCCTGGCACATCAGCCACACACAGGAATGGTTTTAAAAGACAGTGGTGAGGGTCCTGGCCAGGTGGCTCAGTTGGTTGGATGAAGCATCACCTGGTACACCAAAAGGTTGCAGGTTCAATTCCTGGTCAAGGCACATACCTAGGTTGTGGGTTTGATTCCTGGTGGTGGTTTGTATGGGGGCAGCTGATCGATGTTTCTCTATCACATCAATATTTCTTTCTCTCTCCCTCCCTCTCCCTCTCCCTCTCCCTCTCTCATCAAGTAAAAGAAAACAGTGGTGAGGGACAGTTCTCCCAATGGACAGAGCTTCAGGAGTACACCTGGCCATCCACTTTTCCACCCATAGCTTGAGGTTAGACTACACATGGAATCACAGGCAATAGTGACTGCCTGGCCATCTTTTCTCCTAGAATAAAAAATATCAAAAAATTAAGAACAAGAAGGTCTGAGATAGAAACATGTGGAACTCTCTGTATCACATGTTAACACCCACTAGAAAACACCCACTGCCGTGGTCCAGCCGCAGCGGGAGTCAGGGGTGCCGAAGGTGGGCAAGGCGTCGGCGCTGGGAGACAGCAGACTACACGACTCCGAGGTAGTGTGACACTGTTCCACTTTATTGAGAATCAACATAATCTTTTATACTTTCTTTTTTGGCTACGATTACATTTTTTTGGTTAGCAAGCAAGAAATATTATTCACAGGTTAAACAATACAAGTTTTGATTTCATCAGAATGGAACAATTTTGACTTTTATTTTTTAGAATAGAGGAGAAAGGAAAAATCAGTGACCTATAGAGTGATAGATGTGGCTTTGTTTGCAGCAGTAATGTATTAGTTTGTGAGACAGAAATTTTATATAATATTTGCCTGTGGTTACTACTTCTTGTGGTTATATTTTAACTATGGACCTATTCTTAAGCTATTATATTCCTCTTGCCATTTTCTTCTAAGAAAAGAGTGCCTTTTGCCATAGCTATTGATTAACTGCTTAAGAATGCTTTTCTTTTGTTTCTTTGGGAGCGAGCACCAGCGAGGCCACTGCCTTGACAAGCGTTTCATGAAGGGCAGGTTCTCATACTGAACACGCCTTCCATTTACATTAACTATTCTGATACCGTTCTCATTGTAAGCACCTGTGTAAGGCTGAGGAGGGTCTGGTGGCCTTTCCATACTGTTAGCCCCTTTTAGGGGGATGCCACAATCTGCCATTTATTCTATATGCTACCCAGGGTGGTCCTTGCACAGCAGGCAAGGGGCGATGGCCTTTTCCTGTCCTCGACTAATCCTGCATTCATAGGCGGGGGCACTTGAGGACAGGCGTCTGCGTGAGCTCAGCTTTCTCTAGTTCCTCCATGAATTCCTTACTGGGGGCGCCGGGGGGAGTTTTCCTAGCTACTTCTAACAATTTGTTAAAGCATCCGGCACATGTGGTAGCGACTGGACTTGGGGAAATCAGGATTTCTTCAGAAGTGAGAACATTGTTTACCATTCCCAGGTTAGTTATTGATTTATGGCCCAAAATCCCCCCCCCCCCAAGGAGGAGAGGGGATATTCCCATTAAGCCAGTTACTCCCACCCACATGCCACGCCCTCTCCTCAGAAGACGCCTTCCTTGAAGCTTCCTCTCCACGTCCGGATCTTGTCAGACGACATGGTTGGGAGAGGACGCGGCAACCCCCCAGAGAAAAAGCACTAAATGACCAACCAAACAACTCAGCCGATGGATATCGGCCAGTTTCAGCCATCAGACACCCCTGTGGTAGCATAAGGAGCAAGAATAAAGTGGTCACGGTAGCAGAGGTGGAGGCTACTCATGAGGCCATTAGCATGAACCCTCATGGTTTATTCAGCTCCTGCCATCGACAAATGTTCAGTCTGACAGCAACAGATACCAAGGCAGAGCCCCCAACAAGGCACAATCCGTCAAGGACACCAACTAGCCCCTTGGTGGTAAATTGACACAATGTGTCCTTTCCATCTCTTTTTTAATCCTTACGCAAGGATTCAGAGAGAGAGCGGGGAGGGGGGAGAGAGAAACATCGACAAGAGAGACATATCCATTGCTTGCCTCCTATACGCTCCCCGACCAGGGCCAGGGGTCAAGCCTGCAACTGAGGTACATGCCCTTGGCCGGAACTGAACCCGGGACCCTTCAGTCCGAGGGCCAATGCTCTCACCACTGAGCCAAACCTGCTAGGGCTGTCCCTTCCATCTTAAAGGAGCCAGTGGTACATTCCTTACAGGAATAGACATATATCCCAGGTTAGGATGTCCCTTTTATGTCTGCAGAGCTTCAGCTAGGATCACGATCCAAAGGATTACAAAGTAATCTTTCAACAGGGGATCCCATCTGACATCCTGTCAGTCAAGGGAACCCACTTTACAGCAAAGATGCGCGAGTGGCCCATGACCATGCTCACTGGTCATCACATAAGCACCGCCAGGCTCTGGAAGCCTCACGGAGCGTCGGAACCGTCTGCTGAAGGCTGAGCTGAGCTGCTACTTAAAGGCGATACTCTGTGAAGACTGGGTGCTACCTTCCAGGAAACAGTATATGCATTGAATCAAAGACCTTCACATAAAACGCATCCCCAAGAGAGGGAAGACACAGGTCTGGGAGCCAAGGAACAGAATCAGGAATGACCACACTACCATCACTTTTATGAAACTCTCCTGGTTTGCCTTCTCCTTTATTGGCAGTTACTGCTCAGTCTCCACTCACAGATATACGGAATTTATGGGGTGCCCCAAAGCTACTTTCCTTTCATTCTTTCTTCCTAAACTATGTCATATACTATGTACAATGACAACTTCCCAATTCTCTCTCTCCCCAATGGCCAGTTGGGCACTTTTTGCTTCCTGTCCCCACAGCTGTGGACTCTGCAGGGTTAGGGGGCTTGTTCCCCGTGGGAAGCACACTTCTGCCAAGGGGCCCAGCAGGAATCACACTGAATTATAAGCTAAGCCTCCTGCCTGTTGCACATCGGGCTCCTGGTGTCTAGAGACTAGCAGGAAGGAAGAGGAGTCACCATCTTGACAGGGGTAGCTGACCCTGGTCATTCGGAGGAAGGAGGGCTGCTGTCATATAATACGTATGGGACCGTGTGAGCTACTGGGGTGCCTCTTGGGGCAGGAAAAGTATAGAAACAGCCACTAGAAAGGTATGATAACCAGGGGCACAGACCACTGCTGGGAGACGCTATGCCATGAGGTAAGCCACTGAGGCTGGCAGCGGTGGAAGGTCAGGGTGGAGGGCATCGAGAATGGATAGGATGGGCATCGACTGCGGCCCCAAGGTCAACGACAGAGGCCGGGGCTGTAGTTTGCTCCCATCACCTGCCTCTTCTAAAATTCCCCTTAGGAAGAGAGGCCCCACTGCAATTTTGAAGGAGCCACTCTTGGAGCATATATGGCAAGTAGATCTAAAAAGTGTAAATGGTGGACTCTGAACAACAAGGAAATGATTTTCCCAGATCCCCTCTTCAGGGAAGGTTTTGCTGTCTGGCTGTGAAGACCATGGTCAGCAGACACTTCCTTCTGAAGGAGTCTAATCGTCCGTTCCTTTGGGGTCTGCCTCAGCTACAGAACATGGCCTCACCCCAGGCACACGTCTTTCCTGGGACCCCTACACCAGGTGACTGGGCAAGGCAGGGTTTAATGGTCCAGTCAGTAATGCCTGACCCAGGGACACTGGCAGCCACGCTTGCAGCAGAGCACCCAGAAGCTGGCCAAGCCTGCGCTGCAGTCCGACTTCTCTCTTAGCCGATTCCCGCTCATTCTCCCGCCCATCCTTCCACCGGATTTGATTCCTAACATGGATCTTGCACACACACCCCCCAAACTCTGTCTCCCAGCTGCTTCAAGAGAACCCGAACTGTCACAGCATTCCTGTTATCACAAATTTATTTTACAAATACAAATGAATTCTGCACTATAGTTGGTGCCAGGGCAAGAATAGTTATTTAATTTTTTTAAAAAATTTTTTTTTGCACACAGAGAATATGACTTGATCACAGCACAGCTAGTGCGTGGTAAAGGAACTGTTAAAAATCCTTAACTTTCGTTGAGGATTTTTAATGTGCTCAGCATAGCCTTTAATCTGATGTACTTTTACTTCTTGTGATCACCTAGTCTTCAACCTTGAGGGGAAGTGTTATACTTTTACCAAAAGCATAAGAAATTGCCTTCCAGCATAGCTTCTGTCTCCCCTCAGAAACAGAATAGAGCTATTATTCAGGAGCAAGGTGGGAAAATCAGCTTCCTCTGCAGGAAACGCAGTCCCTATTGGCTGCCTCCCTTGGCCATTTGCTGGGAAGGCCTTTTTTTTGGTTTCAATTACGGTAAACTCTTTGGATTATAGCCAAGTTCTCTGCGAGTTCAAAAGTACAAAGCTCTTTAGGAGGATTGGTCTTTTTAAATATTTTTTCAGAGGTTAAAAATTAAGTTTGAAAAAACTATCCAGAGCAGAGAAGCGTTCACAGTAGATTGAGACCCTGAATGTCTCCAACATGAAGCTTGCTCAGGTTATTCTGTTACTTTCGTGCGTCTACTTAAGTTTGTGCATGGTAAGTAATTCGATATTTATGCTAACTATTTTAAGAGAATATTTTAAATACTATAAAAATCTTGAGACACTATTTTGATTTAAAGATTACATAGTTCAGTTACCAACATGGCAGTAACAAAGACTTTTGTTGTTATCTTGATGAAAGAGCTTTAAGAAATTGCTTTTTTGTATGCTTTTATCTGTGCATAGAAATTAAACTGAATGAGAATTTTTATAGCATAGGTCTGTCATTTATAGTAATCATACTAAATAAATATTTTCCTGGCCGGTGTGGCTCCGTTGGCCGAGCATCATCCCATGCACTGAAAGGTCGCGGTTTCAATTCCCAGTCAGGGCACATGCCCAGGATTCAGGTATTATCCCTGGTTGAGGCACATGTGGGAAGCAAACGATTGATGTTACTCTCACATTGATGTTTCCTTCTCTGTGTCTCCCTCTCCCTTCCTCTCT